GCAGCCGAGGCTTTCCAAAATGGCATGGCTTAGCGTGTGGCGTTATCTTTTGCAGATTGGATTTGCCGAAGCTATCACTGCAAGTTGTGTTTTTGGTTCCCCGCACCGGAAAGAGTTTCTCTTCCTTGGTTGTCATTTTGAAGTGCACAAGCTTGAGCGTCGCTGTCCAGGGGGCCATCAGCATGTCCGCGTAGAAGGCAAATATACCAAAGCCAGCTCTGTGTATGTCGACAAGCTGGCCGAGTTTTTAGCTGAAAACCTCGCTGCAGGGATCCGTAACCTTGATCTTGCCGAAGCTGATTGCCCTCAGGTCGAAGGTCTTGAAAGCGTTGTCATCAATGACTTGCTGCAATGCCCAGGTTGGTCTGTCGCCTCAGAGTGGTCCTGGCAGGGTCCTTGTCACATCAACGTCCTTGAAAGTCGGTCCTACGCTGAGCTGCTGAAACTTCTCCTCAGGCATGGGGGTGACCGTAGATTTGTTTCTTTGCTGGACTCTAGGGTTGCAAAGGGAGCACATGGAAAGGGCAGATCCTCGGCTGTTAGTCTTGCCCCTTCCCTGTACCGTGGATGCTGCCTTCAGATAGCAGGAAACTTGCATGGGTCACTTGGGTTTGCACCGACCCGCTTGAACACCGCCGATGCCCCTACCCGCGAAAAGGATCTGCCTTGTCCTGCAGATCACAGCGTTGTGGACTTCCTTCCTGTCAGTCAACTCTCCCGTCTGCATGCCCTTCAGGCCTCCCGGCCTGTTGCTGGTTGGCTTCGACTCTGCATTCTCCTTGTGTGCGTCCGAGGTGGTGAGGCAGATACAGGTTTTGGATTTCCAAGCATGCCGCCCTGTGGATTCCCGGGCTTTCCTGGTGAATTTTCGGTTGGACTTTTTGACCGTCTTGGTTCTTGCTTGTCCTTTGCCGTGTCTGCTGTGTCTGTCCTCCTTGGCGTTGGACTTCCCTGCGCTATCGCTGTGCTTGGAGTGACCTACCTTGGATTTTGCCTGGCTTTTGGACTTCCCAAGCCACTCTTCTCTGGCGTGCCCCGTTTTGGACTTCTGTGCGCCCTTCTGTGCTGCTGCTCCCTGCGTGTAAGTAGCCCCCAAATTAATTATAGTAAAGTTTGGGTTGGTCTCGCAGTCGTTCCAAGCTTCAGTCATGGCATGCCTCTCAACCCTGGAAATGCAGATGAACAACAGAGGGCAAGACGACGTGCAGGTATCGTCTTGCAGGCTGACAGAGTAGTCCTCCAATCAACAAGGAGTCGTCGTGATGACCTTCTCACAGCGTTTGACCTCTGGCTTGCAGAAAACATGCAGGTCACACTGCATGAGTTGCTTTCTGGCAGGTATGATGCTGAGGCCATCTCAGATGCCCTGGTGTGTTATGGGAAAGAACTGTACACAGCTGGAAAGGCGTATGGCAGATTCTCTGAAACCATCAATGGGATTACAGCGAGAAAGCCGGGTTTGCGCAGACAATTAGCTTCAGCGTGGGATCTGGCTTTCAATTGGGTCGTTGATGAGCCGCACGAGCACCACACAGCATTGCCCTTGACGATCATGCTGGCTTTGTCTGCACTTGCCCTCCTTTGGGGATGGGCTCGTGAGGCCAGCCTTATAATGTTGGGCTGGGCAGGTGTTCTTCGTGCGGGAGAGCTGTTTGCGGCTTTCAGGGCTGATTTGGTGCTGCCCAGAGATGCAGCCCCGGGCACCTATCATGCCCGTTTCAAGATTCGTCAACCAAAAACTCGTGGCAGGGCTGCAAAACATCAAGCGGTTCGAATTGATCCATCTGACGTTGTGCTCTGCTCTCAGCAGTCTTTGGGAACCTGAGCAGCGCTGAGCCCCTTTGGCCCCTGTCACCAGCAACCCTACGAAAGAGGTTCAGTCTTCTTCAAGCGTCACTTGGCCTGGGTCTACAGACAAAGCCTGGTGGGATGCCCTTCTCCTTGGCTTCTCTTCGACCAGGTGGAGCCACATTTTGGCTTGACCAGACGCTGGACAGTGAGTTTGTTCGCAGGAAAGGACGCTGGATCAATTCGCGGGTGCTCGAAATCTACCTCCAAGAAGCTGCAGTTGCAACTTTTGCTGAAAGAATGACCGAGGATTCCAGACGCAGAGTTGAAAGCCTCGTAGGTAGTTTCCCTCAGATTTTGCAGAAATCTATCTTTTTCAAGAACTGCTTCATTCCTGAAGCAACATGGCCAAAGTTGTGGTGAAGCGGGGATGTTGGGAATATGGCCTTTTTCCAGTGGCGCAACTTGTGTCTGCACACCAGTACAGATGAGAGCCGTCAGGCAGACATGGAAAATGTGCAGCTTGAGCACTTGACCTCACTAAGTGCGAATGTGTAACGTTTCCTCTCAAGCTCTCCCTCCCTACTAGTGCCTAGTACCCCCCCAATGGCTCACCACTTTGGCCTTTTTCCAGTGGCGCAACTTGTGTCTGCACCACCAGTACAGATGAGAGCCGTCAGGCAGACATGGAAAATGTGCAGCTTGAGCACTTAAATAGTAATAATACCACCGCAATAGCAATGACTATTCTTATCATGTATAAAAATATGGTTAGTTATTTTGAATAGTAAGAAGAACAATTGAAGGAAATTTAGAAGTCAAACTTCTGACAATATGGACAGATGGAAAAGCAGAGGTGGGAAGAGTCAGAGAAGAGAAGAGAAGAGAAGAGACGAGACGAGACGAGACGAGAAGAGAAGAGAAGAGAAGAGAGGAGAAGAGAAGAGAGGAGAAGAGCAGAGCAGAGCAGAGCAGAGCAGAGCAGAGAAGAGAAGAGAAGAGAAGAGAAGGAAAGGGAAGAGAAGGGAAGGGAAGAGAAGAGAAGAGAAGTGAAGAGAAGAGAAGTTAAGAGAAGAGAAGAGAAGAAGAGAGAAGATCAGAGAAGAGAAAGAGTCAAGAGAAAGAGTCAAGAGAAAGAGCCAAGAGAAAGAGTCAGAAGAAAGAAGATGAAGGTGCGCGAAAAGGCAGAAAAGTCGCGATTCACTGTGTTTTTCCAATGACTTGTGGCTGTGGAGGGTCGAAAAGTAGGCTCGCTAAAGCGGCGGGTGCGGAGCCATCTGGCCAGATGAGAAATGAAAAATTGCACGCTGTTGTGGCGCGAAGCACATTTCGAAGTCAAAATGTTTAAAAAAAAGGTCAGCTTCGGAGCACTTTTAGGAATTGAGACGTGCAGCACTTCGTTTGAATTGGCATCACTTTTTCGTGGCAGACGCAACACTTTAGACAGATGGGGTGGACAAATCGCAAAACGCATTGGTACGAGGCCGTCAGTTGTGCACTCAACTGTCCATTCTTGAGGGAAGTCTCCCAGAATTGCTTCGTTTTCGCTCTTGGCAACTTCGAAAATTGAGGAAGTCTCGCAGAATTCTTTTGCTTTTGACGTTGTCAAGTTCAAAAATGGAGGAAGTCTCGCAGAATTGCTGCGTTTTTGATGTTGTCAAATTCCAAAACTGAGGAGGTCTCGCTCAAGCTTGCAGACAGACCAACGGACAGACAGACAGACAGACAGACAGACAGACAGACAGACCGACCGACTGACCGACCGACAGGCAGACAGACAGAGACAGACAGAGAGACGGATAGACAGACAGACAGATAGATAGAAAGAATTAGAAAGATAGAAAGAAAGAAAGAAAGATAGATAGATAGACAACTACAACTACCACTGCATTACTGCCACAACTACAAATGCAAAAATACTACGCTACATGACGCTACACTAATTACACTACACTGCGCTACTACTACCACAGCTACAACTACAAGTACAGCTACACTACATTACAGTACACTACGCAAATACACTGCACCACACTACAACTACAAATGCAATTGCAACTAGCGCTACACTACGCTGATAACATTGCATTACACTACAACTACAACTGCAACTACAACGGCAGCTGCCACTACATCACACTACACCACACCACACCACACTACACTAATTACACTAATCGCACTAATTGCGCTAATTGCACTACTTGCACTAATTACACTACACTACAACTGCAACTACACTACTATACACTACACTACACTAGACCACACTACACTAGACCATACTACAGCACACTATAGCACGCTACAGTGCACTACAGCACACTACAGCACAGCACACAACAGCACACAACAGCACACAACAGTACACTACAGCACACAACAGCACACAACAGCACACAACAGCACACAACAGCACACAACAGCACACAACAGCACACAACAGCACACAACAACACACAACAGCACACAACAGCACACAACACTACACTACACTATACAACACTATAGTACACTATAGTACACTATACTACACTATACTAATTACACCACGGCTACAACCGCAACTGCACTTGCAACTACACTAATTACACCACATTGCAAGTACAGCTCGATTACGCTGCGCTACAACTAAAACTAGAACTGCGCTACACCACACTACATCCAGCAGTTGTGGTGAGGTGGCCACTGCAACCATTGCAGCCACTCCAAAAACACAACTCCAACCACCTGTCGGTCCATCAGTGGATTCGCTCTGCCATCCATGATTCACAACAACCAACCTCTCCTATAGGTTTCCATTTTTGAAATTTCCGCCACCGCCTTGTAATTGTACGGTAATGCTTGTGAAAATCATTAATCATTTTTTCCGATCTTCGGTTTTCTTTTTACATTATTCGTGTCCAGTTTCCACTTCTTTGAGGGGTTCAGTCAAGCCCTTTGTGATACTGAACCGCGTGAGAACTAACTGCAATGTCACAACAGGTCAAGACCAAGTACTCCAGGGCCACATATTGAATGCCACCCTAGAAACCCTTGTTTAGCGTTGGATCTATTATCTATTCATGTCATACAAATCCCTGATTCTGGGTATCTTGTTTTACTACAAGGGGACGGGATTGCAAACTCAAAACCATCGCAGTTGGTAGCACTTCACATCACAACATGTGAGTTCGCATGTCCCACATTCATCCGGTGAGTGCCCTGCTGAGGTTGCAGTTGCTCAGCGCCGTCCTATACATGCACGAAAGGACCTGTGGACCTGTGCACATCAGCTGGACGGTAGCTGTGGGTGTGTCTGAAAATGGGATATACCACCCATTCATGGCCGTGTAATGATTATGATAACCCAAAAAAATGGTAGCACCCTATTTTCAGACAAATTGGTATATGCCTAGATTGCAAGGAATCAAGCAATGCACACCATGGTTGCATGACCATTTTGTTAGAAGGTTCAGTGGTGAAAGGAAATGGTTGAAACAGCCTAAGTGGCATGATAATCTGGACGGCCGTGAGTCTGGGAAAGTGGGAATTGCCATCGATGGCCTGGGCAGATGGGTGCCCACCTGTAGAATATCGATTTAGAAGCATTTAGATGATTTGAAATCATTTAAAAATGTATCTTATACAACCAAAACAAGCACGATGCAAATCTACACATGGATGCATGTGCATATTTTGCATATCTGAAGATCTTTGCTGCTAACCGCGGAACGGGTCTGGTTGTCGCAGCAAACCCTCTGGCTCAGAGATTGGACCGTGCCCGCAGATTTCGCAGCGAATTTCAAGAGTCAGCTGGCCGAGGGAAGATTTTCGGTTGATGGGACAGATGGTCATGGCGAGAGAATCATAGAGAATCCACCTGTCACTACTGGGATATGGACCGGGATCCATATGCCTGACCCGAGGCTGAATCACAATGGCGCAGCAACTTCGCAAGGCAAGGCATCCATGTAGTGTTGCCAGGGTGTTTCCTGGCCACTTTCACCCAACACGAAGCTTACAAAGGACCATCTACCAGCACTGGTTTCAATGTCAAATTGAGAATGCAGACACTATAGCAAGTACAGTATCTAATCTGTACCATCTGAGCATCCACCAGATACATAGCAATATGTTTCTACATATCGGTTCGGCTATATATTTTTTGCACCCAAACAATCAGAAAAGTAACATCTCAATTTAAAAGTCAGTGGCAAGTTACTTTCCAGTTTTTTTTCTCAAAGGGATCCCCATTCCACCTATTCCCCATATCTGACCATGACCTATTCACTTCACCCGTCTTCCGCAGCTTCGTCTGTTGCCTGCCCTGCTGGCCGTGACTCTGCTGATCGCTGCCATCGCACCTTGCTTCGTGGCACCTCCCAAGCGAGGCATGGCATGGCGTCGCAGGGGAAGCTTCAGCCGTGGAGTTTGGGCATTTTTTGGAAAAACCATGGCTTTTGGATGTTCTTTTGGACGATCAGTTCGGAACTTAGTTCGGGAACAAAGGGAAACAGAGTGTTTTTTGTTTGATCTCAATTTTGGTTTTGACAACTACTCGAGCTTTGTTTAGCTACACTTCTCAAGTTTTACCCCTTGGTAATTCAACATATCTAAGGAAAACGCCCCATGTAATGTGGAAGGCCCACCAGTTCTAGATCATTTTCCCTTGGGTTTCACCATTTTTTCCCGCATTTACCTTAGTTGATCCCGGCTTTCTGCCGCTAGAAGTTCCCACTGCACCGCTGGCCGGCCTGGCGTTGGCAGCACCTTTGGAGGTCGGACGTGGGGGTTTTAGGTGCGATGGGATGCCATGGGATGACGCCATGACGCAAGATGTTTTTGACCGTTCCTCCACCTGAAGTGAGACATGGCGAATTGAGGCGACTGACTCCAGAGTCTGCCCTTTCTTTTGGCATGGGATCACTGGAGTAGGGAAAATCAATGTCATAAATATAAACCATCCCCCAGTCACCATAAATATATACTGTAGGTGGTATAAATTGATAAACCATTCCCAGTCATGGTTGGTTTATGACATATCAATGCCATTCAATGGCAACATCAGCTCTGGAGGCTGCCTATGCCAAGTTGCCACCTTTGGAGGATGTGCCATTGGAGGATATCGTCCATGTCTCAGAAAGACAGTCTGGGGTGCCGTCAAACTCCCAAGAAATGCAGTTTAGATATTTTTGATGATGATTATTCAGATTCTGAGTCGTGAAAATTATTGATTGCAGGTTTGGTTTGGTGGTTTGTAATCCTTCGAGCCCCTCAAGACTTGGTTCTTGAATTGGTTGATTTTCGATCACTGTGGAGCATTGGGAGGTGCCCAAACTCCCAATCCAACTTTGAACTTGTGGAGAACTCGGGAGACTTTACACTATTGGTACGCACGCACACACATGTATATATATATATATACATATGTGTATATCATATATCATACCCAAAGGATCCAATGTATGCAAATATTGCCAACATTCGGCAATGTCAGCGATTTTTGCCTACATTCGCATTTATAGGCCAATGTAGGCTTGTATTCCTTACATTCGGCAAATTGGTTTTCCGACAGTTTCCGTTGTTTCCGACAACGTATAACGGCCCAAGTCAAAGCAAAACAAAAATCGCCATGTAGGAAGGTTAGGTGCCAATGTGGCACCAAAGTAGACCCAACCAACAGCAAACATGCTATTCCATACTTCATACCAACAAGGCAAGCGGCAGTCTAGGGCAAAAAAAAATTAAGTGACAGTGGCAGCATTGTTTTGCTGACCCACAATTTCCCTCATTTTGATAGGTGTTCCAAGCTACACAACAGCAAAAATAACAAAGGGATGAACTAAGAATATGATTTGCAAATATTTGCAATATTTCATTGCATTTCATTCATGATACGAATGTATGGGTTGGAACACAGTCTCCAACAATAATATGTTGATATAGATTGATCATTGTACTTTATCATCTGTGCGAGTTGTTGGATGTAAATGTGGGACCTGTTGCAAGTTCAAGCGCAAATGCAATGAATTGGATAAATTGTTGGGCGATCCATTTTGCTATTCAATAGATGCATGGTTTTTTCCCTCGGTTTGCTACCAACCGTTTGCAAGTTTCCTTGGAACATGTTTATGTATGGTTGTGAGGAGGCCAGATTGTTACAGCTATTGCTTTGAAACTTTGAAATTATTTGCGGAGGTTGCAGTATCCTCCGAACTCAGTATCTACCTAGCAAAAAAGATAGTACAATTTATTAACCTGGAAGCGTTACCCTGATACAGCTTCCGAAGATCAGATTCTCAATGCCCGCCCCAAGACCATGAAGTTAATCATGGAGTGATGTTCTTAAATTTGTTCACACCCGAATATGGACTTATGCAGGAAAAATTCATCAAAATTCAAAAAACAACTAATTTAACCTAATGATTTTATAAATTTGTCCTTGCAACTTTTTTTTGCTGTTTGATCAAAGGGATGTGGTATGTGCCGACTCGATGCCACCAAAACGACACGGTATCCTTGATCGGCTCACAAAAACATCGCTGCCAACCTCCCTGACCTATGGACACGGCGATTGCAAACAACATAATAGTCATAGTCTTACAAATGTCTTCTGTCAGGAAAGGTCAAAGTGCTTTAGTGGTCAGTTCTGACCGAAAGCAAACCTGTTCTAATTTTTGCGAATTCAATACCTGTAACTGTAACTCCTCAACTAGAGATGCTGTACATTAGATAAAACATTCAATATGCAGGAAAGTAACCACAAATAAGCGCCAGTTGAAGACACTCTTCATTTCGGAGCGGGTCTCAGGAAGAAAAACACTGCAGCAATTAATTTTGATAGTGCCGAGGCATCCCCGGACTACAATACTGACCGGGCCTCATCTCATCCCCTCCCAATTTTATGCTGATATTTTTCTTTTTCAGGAAGTGTTAGGTTTATGTTATGCCACTTTTGGCCGAAAATATCAGAAAAAGGGGCTGGAAGGGCATATTCCAGTCAACATGTGAAAAGGTTTGGGCCTGAAGATATGGAAATAAAACTGTAGATTTGCCACCAGTGTTCCAGCAAAGCTCCCGGTGTTTGGTCACACTCCCGTCACGCTCTCGTCACGCTGGTCCGACAAAAATTGGGTATTTTCCTACTAATTTTGCATACATTCGGCATGGTCCGTCACGCTCCCGTCACGGTCTCGTCACGCTCACTTGGGGCAGCGGGCTGCCCAAATTTTCCCGAACACATTGACCAATGCCACACTAAAGAGACACAATGTTCAACATGTTTGTATTTTTTCACTGTCACCGAAAAGAGCACACTTTTAGTGTTATTGCCCCGTGGGTTGACCATTCAAAAAAAGTTTGAAGGATCCAGCAAGGGCAGAAGCATGCATTTGCATTAACTAATTTCTCTTTCCACCATACATCAGACTATGTAGGAACGTCAAAACTGAATTGCAGAAAGTCGGCGGCTAAGCACCTAAGCGCTTGCGGGAGTGCAAAAAGTTCCAGTACTGCAAAAGTGCAGGAGTACTTTTTAGTTTTCAGCGCGGAGTTGCATTTCGTGACTGGAACTGATTTTGCTGCCGTATGAATTTTCGTCTTGAGTGCCGATCATATTTTGTCTTGGCGCTTGCCTTCTTGCTTTTTGCTCCCACACAATTTATCATGTTCAATTGTTTGGCTTTGCTTTATATTTAATTATTTAGCCAAACGATGCACCCCCCAAAAAAAAAACAACTGTCCAAACAAACTCCAGAATGTTTGACACAGATTTGTGAAACAAAAATGCAAGCATCTGGACAACAGATTTTAGCATGTTAAATTTCTGTAAGCTTGTTATGGAATGTTATGTTGGGCCATCAGTGACACGTTGCCACCAAAAGATGACGCGCACATGCACATGTTGCATATTTGTCATGTTTATCCTGTTTGGTTGTATGTTGTTCCAGCAGTGTCCTATTTGTTTGGGTTGGAGGTCAGAATCTAGAGCCAGCAAAAAAATGCATCTGCGAAAACATGTGTGTTCTTATCTATCTTATTGTAAACATCCCTCCCTGACCCAGCATGACAGTAATTACATCCTGTTGTTTTTTGTTGTGCATGTGTGAGTGTGTCTGTGTGTGTTCCACTGTATGCTGTGTTGATCCATCTTTTGAACATTATAGTGGCCCCCTCGGGTAGGTGAAATAAAGGTGTTTGTTCAATACTCTACAGCAATTTGTTGTTCCTGCGATGGACTTAAAATCAGTTGAAGAACAAGCATGAGCAGAGGCAAATAAATTTGAGATGCAATGATGTCTGCTTTATCTTTGATAACTCATGCTATAGTTCATGATTTATTATGGGTTTAGTCTTGCAGGTTCCGGTCTATTTATTTGGCTTTCCTTCAAGCTCTTAATTGTATACTGTTTTCTGGACTTTGTTTGGGTGATTGTCGCTGAAACTTGTGAATATAATTTTCGATTGGTTCAAGATTGGTGCAGGCTTGCAATATCCAGATGTAGCCGTCTTGTGAATTGTCGCGCCTGCAATATCCAGATGTAGTCTCGTGAATTGTCGTATATAGAACATTATGGAATTATATAAAAAATGCTCAATTTTGATATTTTATTCCTTAGGATGTCGGTCAAGACTGACCCACCACTTTTTGGCAACATAATTTTGCCCGCAACTGGATAAACTTCTCCTTTCCGATAAACTCCGGCAAAATCACTAGATTCCGACAAAAGTAGGACCTAATTTTATGAATGTAGCCTCCAGGAGCCAACATTACAATGTTGGCTTCTCAGGCCAACATTGGAATGTATGCAAATATTACCAACATGGATTGTTTGGGATATATGATTAAACCCCTGAACCTCACTGGCCGGAAATGTCCGCACTCTTGTTGGTGGTTGGACACCTGGAATTGGCTGGATGGTGAGTTGAACGTATAAATTCTCTAGCGACCTGCCACCATCGCCATCCTGGTCGCCTTCGTTCAGGGCGCAACACGACAAGGAAAGCTCGGTGAGGAGGCTCTGCATGTTGATAAAGGGAGAAGCCAAGAGAAACCAATGTCGAAATCAACAAGACATCTATGTGTTTTTGTTGAACTTCTTCAGGAAGGCGGATTTGGTGGGGTCAGTAACTCGCGAATGGTTTGGATATCATTCGTATAGTAATATATATATATAGATATATACATATGCGCAGATAGATATAGAGATAGATATAGAGATAGATATAGAATAGATATAAATATAGATGTAGATATAGATACTAATATATATATATATATGCATACGTATCTTTTTTCTCCTTCCTGGCTGTCCCAAAGAAGCTCCATGGACCTCCTTGGCTTTTTTGCATCCATCCGGCAGTCCGACACCTTCTTCGGCATCAGCTTCCAAGTTTGGATCTTCGTGATCCTGGGTGCAGTGACCTGGGCTGCCACCTGGGTCTTGAACCTGAAGCCCGCCAAGGACCGAAGGATGGGGAGAGAACTTGTAGGTTTTCCCCACCTGGCAATCCCAAAGTTCAACAGATGTATCTGGAGAACTCCGTTTTGGGATGGGTTGGAACCACAAATTTTTGGGAAAATAGGAGGAAATCAGATACCTCAAAATCCATGTAGTCTGGACACCTTGGTGTTGAGCTGCTTGAAAGTGAGATGAATCTTGCACCAAAATCCGGTCGAAAGCCCAAAGCGATGGGTGTTCCATTGTTTTCGATGGTTCTTGAATTGAAATCAGAAAAAACATCTTATACTCACATGTTTTATCAGTATATTCTTGGTTGTGCCGAAATTTGGGTATGATATGATTACTGCATATCCATTCGGGGCCTCCCAACATCATGGGCCAGGACGCCGAGGGCACCTACAAGACCTACATCGGTGCCGGCACCCTGCCGCCCGATGGCTTCACTAACCCCGCGGATCCTCGGGTCCAAGAAGAACTCACGGACCCCGGGGACCGCCAGGTGGTCGTTGGGACTGTGACCTGCGACGATCCCCCAATGATCCAATGGTGACAGAAACAACGACTTTTTGGATGTCTTGGGCTGTGAAGCACTGTCTGCCGCCAAGAGGGAAGTACCAAGTAAGTCAAGTGATTTTCAGAGGATGAGATGATGAGACCCATGGCTTGCATACTTCAAGTGAAACCAAAGTGGGGCAACGGCAGTCCAGAAATGGTGTTGATGGGCTGTTTCGTCGGCCAAATCCACCACGAAAAAGCTGCTTCTTACCTACCACATCAAAACTTCCCATTTTCACTGGTCACCTCGGTAAAGTCCATTTTTGGTACATCATTTCCCTCTTTTTTCTATTTTTTGCCCATTCAAAACTGGACGTCTCCCCGCAGGATGAAGATGACGACCTTTACAGTGACGATTTGAGGCCCGGTCAGGCCAAGGGAGCTAAGGCGGCCAGCTCAGCCATTGTCTGAGGCTTGGTTCAAAGTGCTTGCCCTGGGTAGATTGGAGAGGAAAAGCGTGGGAAAGAAATGGAAAAAATAGGTGTATCCAAGTCTTCGACTGTCTTCCAATGTCGTCTTCGTTTTTTTTTGATGGTTATTAATATGTTATTAATATGTAAGAATTGCTTGTGCCATTCGCTGCCATTCTATTCTTGCACGGTGGCCTGACCACGTGTCGGACCGGCTTCTAAGGAGGACGTTGGTTTTTCATGGCTGATGTTGCGGGCCTGTCATATCTGTCATAGGTTGTGATGATTTTCAGGAATTGCATCATGGTTTGAGTGGATAAGGGGTTTTACAAAGGGGCTTCAGCAAGTTCTGTCACATTGAGCTTCACGCGGATTGCGGGGACACATGTCAGCATCGAAAAACGCCACTTTCTTTAACTTCAGATGCTTGCATGGTTTCCTGCTGAGAATGCGATTTTGGATGGTAAACCACCGCTCAATAGTTTCTTTGGGAAGTGGCTCTGGATTCCACTCGTTGCTCAGGATTTGGTCGAGAGATGTCGAGAGTGGACAAGTGCTTCGCACTGTGCACTGCCTGATAGTGGTCGATAGTTTCAAGAACCCGTTTGACAAGGGTCTCTCTTGTCCTTTTCACACGCACCGGGCCGAAGACAGAACACTGACCTGGGCCAATTTCCGCACTTTGCTGCGCCCACAGCTTTTCCGGCATCGAAGGATTTGTGGATGTTGGATGTTCCACCTATCTGATGTCCAGTTCCCTCGAACTGTCATCCCTCAAAGTGTACCTGTGCCAGTTTCAGGAACCATTTGATGCCAGCATTTTCACCACCACACAGACGACCATCTCGGTCTGCCATTGGAAAAAGTGAGTCTGAACCCAAGCATTGTGGTAGGAGCTCATGGTGCCACTATGGGACATCGATCCCTCTGTTTGTTTGGCGGTTAAGGATGATAGCACCACTTGAGGAGAATTTTGTTTTGAGATGGATGGCTCAAACTACCAACCAGAGCAGCACTGAGGTCTTTTGACAAAGAATTGGATCTGAACTTCTTAGCATTTCTTAGTATTTTTTGTTTCTGAGCTGCCTTTCCCAATTACTTCCACGTTGCAGCCACTCCAAGCGCTCGGCCCCGCGCTCGGCCCCTGGGTCGCAGCCACCCGCAGCGACCCAGGCCATGGCAGCCGTCATGGCCCATGGCCCATGGCCCGCAGCTGGTGGACGGTACTGCAGCTCTTGGCGTCCTTGTTCTGGCGCCAGCTGCGACGGGACCTGGTGACCTACAATGTGGATTTGGCTGCGTGTCAGAGAAGAACCTTGGAAGAAGTTTGGAGGGAAGACGTGGCAGATGGGAGCTGGCAGGTACTATTGGACGGTTGAGGAGACGCTGGGATAAAAGGATGGCCAAGGGGCTTCCGGAATGATGTCGGGCTGGAAATTTAGGAGGCTTGGTGATGGGTGGCAGAACTAGACCTTTCGGGGTGGTGATCTTGTCCATGAATCGCATGTATTCTTCAATTTTCTTTAATATGTTCAGGGTGCTGGCGAAAGGACCGCATTGAATTTTCTCGTTTTTTGCTGACTTCTTGGCGTGTGATCTTCAGTGGTTCACGTCTACCCCATGCCTCACAGGTTCTCTGTTTTAGGCCTACCACATTAGCACATCTCCATATCTGGTCAGCCAAGACAGCACCGTGCTCGCCCAGGTGGGAAATGGCAACATGCCATGCTCCTGTTGCGAGCCTTGGAAGGGGAGTTGCAATCCGCCACTGGGCTGCAGGCATGGAGGCCTCGGGCTTGGTGCCGCAGAAATGGAGGAAAAAACGCCAGAATCGCTGCGAAGAGGTAAGATCAAAGACATTGCATAACTATTTTCAAAGGGATGCAGGTTCACGGGCCCCTCTGAAAACTAAGATGAAGCCAGATGAAGCTTCCCCCCAAAAAACTTCTGTGTAAGATCATCATCTAATTGGAGGTGCCTCTGTTGGTGAAACGTGCCACATCGAGGATGTGGTGAGCTACAACTCCGCCATTAGCAGCTGCAGCGATTGGAGCCAATCTCTGCAACTGCTGGACGCAGCTCAGGTAAGAGCTTCCGGCGCTGGAAAGGGTTGTTGGTTTGTTACAGAATCCAATTCCCAATGGGGCTGCTATCTTCAAGGCGTTTATGGGAGTTGAGATGCCATGGTGTACAAGGTTCCCAAGAGAACGAGCGCCGGTTCCAGTTTCCTAAATCAAACTGTATGAAGTAAGTGGCTACTCACAACTGCGGAGGAAAACTCTGGAGTTCAATGGGGTTCGGGTCAGGTGGGACCTTGGCTCATTCTTGCTAGCAGCTAACATCATTTTCAACTTCAACCACTGGTGAACTGATTGGTACTTCAAACTCATAGTGTGACGCAGTTTCCAAGAAATAGAATCCAGTTGAATGCTGGGTGAACGAGTTGCCTGTTTGCAATAAACTAGGGATTTGTGGACTGCTAAACACTGGCCTTTACGCTTTGTATCTAAAAGCTAAATGTTTTTAACTGAATTTTGGCGTGATTTTTTGTGGACATCGCTATTGTTGTGCCTATGAAACCATCGATTTGCATGAGTCACTGAGTCAATCAGCCACCAAACTTGGCCCAGACTCGGCTGATGACTCAGCTGACTTTTTTTTTCAGAAAACATCTCTTTAATCATTCCGAAAGGCGTCCATCAATGGATTTGCTGACGACTTAGCAGTTTCCATATGTGTTGGTTAAGCATCATCATAAATTGTTGGTTGAATCAAATCCCTTACATATGGTGCACTTTCCCAAATTTGTTGGCTAAAAAGCACAATTCTGGTTGATGAAATCATTATTTTGCTTAGGAAATCAACATCTTTGTCAGGTAAAATCACCATTTTTGTGGCACAAAAAATCCAAATTTTCCAGGCCGCTGGCCTCCGGCTGGACGTGATCACCTCCAACGCCGCCATCGCTTCCCTCGGCGCCGCGTGGCCACTGGCCTTGGCCCGGCTTCGGCGGCTGACGGACACGCAGGACACGCAGGACGCGAGCGTGACGACGGTCACGGCGAACGCGGTGATGGGTGCCTGTGAGAGGAGATGCCCGGCGGAATGGAACGAAAATCAGGGTTGAGTGTGTACCAAATGAAGTGACTATGGGGATTATGGGGATGGATCAAAACCGGTACTACCAGATGAATGGCGGGAAGAACATGGATTTGCGAGTCTATGATTAGAAAACTGCCAGTCTTTTGATCTGTATCTAATGATGCGTAATGTGTAGAATTGTGTAGATATGAAGGTTTCCTGAAATGGGGATACCCCTCTAAAATCATCCATTTTTAATAGGATTTTCCATTGGAAACCAACCATTTTGGGGATCCCCCATTTGTGGAAACCCCCATATGTTCGGCAATCCAACCTTTCGCGATAACTGGAGGATACCAGAAATCTACCATCGCCTGGCCCTCATATGGACCCACCTCAGCGGCCAGAGATCCTGCGTCAGGTTGGCCAACAAGATGTGATGATTAAGACCCACTAGTCACATTCTGTGTAGGAGTAAATAAATACATAAATGAATCTCTCTCTCTCTCTATATAATTATATAAGAGTATATAATATATATAGTATATACATATAGTATATATATAACGTATAGTTTAGTATAGTATATATATATAAATATAAATAAACACACACACACACATATATATATACACAGAGAATATGCGTATATATAAGTAGGTAGTAGTCAGCACAGGGGTGCAGCCAAAATCAAGAATCCAATCAACTTCAAGATTTCGTGTGTGACTTGTTCACGACAATGCTCCAAAAAACGAGGCATTGCCCGATCCAAAAGGTGACAACAGGTGTGACAAGTGGAACAACTGTCCTACTGGCGACGCCGACCACCACTACTGCTACGACTCCATACTACTAGTGCTACTAGTGCTACTACTGCATGCTACTGCTACTACTACGACTGCTACGGCTGATTGTACTATTAATAATAGGGGTTCATGGTTTGGGACCTATTGCTCGTGATTTCGCTTGATTTTGCAAAACCTCGAGGTGACCAATGGCACCAAATCCTGCCGATGTTCCAACGGCTGCGGCATTGGCGTTTGCGCGCAACGGTGGTGACCTATGGGTCTTTGCTGAGCGGCTACGAGACAAATTCCCAGTGGCAAGAAGCCTTGAGTTCCTTGGGAATTGTCATTGGTAGGATGGGCCAAAATATGCCAAAATGGGATAGTCTCAAAGATGGGAACATAGTGAGACGAGTAAAGACTATCAATTGTGTGGCCTGTTAAAACGGCTGGCCCATGCCCATTCGTTTGCCCTTGGGGTTTGAAGCATTGCTGGTTCGTGATGGCGGGTGGCGGATCGTTCTTGGAGATGTCGCTTCTAGTTTGGTGATCAAAAAAGTACGGGGAACAATCTGCACCACTGCATCATTTATTCCGTACTTGTCGAAGGCAATTTCAGGAGCGGCAACTGTCATGTGAGTCATGTGTGTCATTCCACAAATTTTGCCCAGAGATCCCCAAGAAAAATGCCAAACATGAGCATGTTTGCCCCCCATCACGGCCCTCTGGCCACGTTTTCGCAGGTTTCCTGCGCGAGTTTCAGGAGTTTCCCTACCAGGCGACAGCCATCCCTTTCAACGCAGTCATCAGTGCGTGTGGCAAATGTACCATGTGGCAACATGCCCTGGAGCTCTTCCAGGAATGTGACAAGGGGGACTGAAGTGATGCTGCTGTGATTTCAGTTCAAACTCTTCCTTGACCATCTCCCAAGAGGCGCCTGGGAAAAAACGTCGAACCCCCCTGCTGTCAGCTCTTTCCGTCAGGAGATGACGAGGCAGGTGCTACATCCCAGCGATGTCACCATCAACAGCTGCATCACCGCCTTCGCCTTCAGCGGCCAATGGCTCCAGGCCTTGGAGCTCCTGGCTGGTGGCGGCAGTGAGACGCTGCAGATGCTGGTGATCCGCTATGAGGGGACCATTCTGGCAGCCATGCAGCTGGGATCTGCTGACCGTTGGGACAGATGGGACGTGACCGAAGATGGGGAAAGTCACTAGAGATATCCGGGCGATCAGTGGGTTGTTGAAAGGGTTTTCTCACACCTTTTCGCCTGTGCCAAGCATCGTTTCTATTAAAGTGTGATGTTTTGGCTCCTTTACACATCCCGGCTTGGGGCTTGGTGCTTTGATACCGCTTGTGATGTGTTCTTGTTGGGATAGGATTCCGTTCAAAGGGCATGGAGTTGTGCGTCCTTTTTTTTCCCTTTGTCCGAGCCCCAAAAAAGGAATGGAACTGCAACACTGGAAACCCTGAAGCTGCTGTTGGGCCTGTTGGGTTGCAAAGCTGGGGGAGTGTTCCAATAGGGTTTGAGTTTGAGCCATTCCAAACCCAGCTCGCATGCCTTCTTGGTTCAATTTTTTTTGAGCTTTCAGATGGCAACTGTACAGCCACCATCAGCCATTTGGATCCATTTGGATCTATCATGATCAGTTGATAGCAGTTGTTCCCAAGCCCATCTTGGGTTTCCCCATGGTCGCACACCTCTCGATGCAAGGACCGCCGGTAAAGTGGACGTGGCCACAGTGTTGCTGTCAGACTTTCGCAGAGAGCTGACGAAGCGCTTCGCTTGACGATGTGAGGCAGGGAAAAGGGACCAAAAGGGGTTTGGCACCTGAAGATTTATACAGAAAAAAAAAATGATGGTGCAAAGCTTACTGTAAATTCTCTACTAAAAATTACTAAAATATGGAAACATATTGCAATTTATTGGGGTTCATCTACCATTTTCAAACACACCTAAATGGATGGAAGCTAATGGGTGTTTTAGAGCCCTTCAATTCAGCTCACCCCGTTGAAACGCCCAATGTACCACTGACGTAGTCAATGCATGTCAATCTCATTTTCACAATCAGCACCGTATCAAACGGAATCTAGTTCTATTATACCTTTACTATCATACCGACCTTTCTCTTGATTTCAATGTACCTCAGGGTATTCAGTGATGGTAAAAGAAAACGTAAGGTCAAACCTCCATTGTTTCCACTTTTCTCATGGGTAAAGATCACCCCGGTAAGATGTTGAACACGCGGCTTGAGATCGCCCTGATGTCCTGAACATGGGCACTGATCGGTTTACGAGCTGATTTCTAGGTTTGTTCCATTTTCAGGTTTGAAAATCAGGCTGTAAACCATCAGTCATTCAGATTGATCTGATTTTTCTGCCCATGAGGCCTCCGAGAACCAGGACAGCTACTCGTATTTGCCTTAAAAGAAGAGACGACTGAAGGTCGAAGAGAACAAGGAGGCCAATGGGGGTGGCTAAAGATGATATGGGATAGTTTGGAGGCACCGAAAAAAATCGCCATCAATCCTTCCCTCGGTTCGGTGAAATCCTGAGGCGACGCGGCGAACGCGGCGTCCTGGAGTGAGCGATCCCGATATCCACCAGATATTGTTTGATGTAGAGGATTAGGATCATTTGAGCTATGGTCAATACTCATGGTTAATAACCATTAATAGGGGCTAGTCATCCAATGGTTCATAGGGATTTATAATAACCATTATAAGGATCCTTATTATGGATGAGATGACCATCAACCATATAGTGAGTATTGACCATGGCTCATTTAGGACCTAAGGATACCACCCTGGCAGATGGATTCAGAGATCCTGTCTTGCCAACGTCTCACCTTGGATCAATCTTTGCGAAAGCGACATGTGTTTCACACTTCCGCTGCTGCCGCGATCAGCAAAAACCTCCGATCCTCCAGATGTTCTGTACCTGGTTCCTTTGCTGGGTTGCGCGTTTGGCATGTAGATCATGTAGTCTGATTGCAAAGCACAAAGATGTGACCAGCTTGACCCAAGGAGTACATCCCATTCTATCCCCGCTGCATTCACCATTATTGGTGGTTAAATCTCCACATTATTTTATGATGGAAAGAAGCAGCCCTTATTGGTGCGAGGAATTTGTGTCACCGGGACATCAAGCCGGAGCATCTTCTCATCAAGGTGGCTTCTGGCCCTGTGGAAATAACTCACCGACCTCACTTTCCGACCTCAACCTTAAAAACAGAAGTTGTGAATTGATCTAATTTCCGTCGTCCATATAGTGTATCTATACCTCTGTAATCCTCCCCCTCTCTCTCTCTCTCTTTCTTTCTCTGTATATATATATATATGTATATGCCTATTTACATGGAATACTGGTTGGTGGTTTGGAACATTTTTTATTTTTCCGTATATTGGGAATAATGATTCCAATTGACTAATATTTTACAGAGGGGTTGAAACCACCAATTAGAATATATTTTCCTTCTGAATATGGATGATTCAGTCCCAGCAAGACCCTTTACGATGGCGCTTGCAGCGCGACCGTGGTCGGCCACGTGGCCAGGATAGAGCTCCGGCTCACTGCGCAGAGATCAAGTTGTGCTTCGTTTGCAGAGGATGAGTCCAGTGTGCGGTTGCAGATGAACTCCAATAACCAAGCTGTATGGGTAGATATATCTGTAGTTACTATGATTTATAACCTATATGTAGTTTATGGACATCAATGTGGGTTTGACTGAACATGGGGCATACCCCATAGCCATTTTTTTTGGAAGGCTGATGATAAACTATTGGATTTTGGGGTACCTCTTGCGGGTGCAGTTGAGGTTACTGGGTTCTTCAAACAACAGCCATCCTGTCACGCTCACTGCGAAGAAACTTGCGTTCCTCCTTTCCCCCCATTCAATGTCGTTACATTGCTTTGCTTGGAAAGGCCTTCAAAAA